TGATTGATCCGCGCTGTGCCGAGTGTGTGTTTGTTATCTGAGTGCGTGGCCCGACTTCCTGTGGATTTATTCTTATCATTCCTGGAGATATAATCGATGCTGATATGATAATAATACACTGAATAATATGGATATGAATAAATATGGATCCTTGATCCGAAGTTCCCCAATAAGTCTCTCTGGTCTCTCTGAGGAAATAGTTGAATGGATTATGGGAAATTAAAATCTGTTGGGAAGGATAGTGTGCTGTGAGTGTAGTGTATGCGCAATGGGCCTAGTCCGTTCGTCACACCTGCAACTGTTTCGAACGAGTTTGTTTTCTTAGCTAGTTCCCGTACTCTGTCCAATGTAGGATCGGTGCTTTGCAGTTGAGCCAGTGACTCCAGTGTCAGGGAAATGATTGAGGCTTGCTGTTGCGGTTGGGATCCGCTCGTCGAGGTTTCTTCCAGAGTAGTTTTGACCCGTGCACTGGGATCATCCGAGGCATTTGAGTTTCCTGAGTCTGCATTCATGTTTTCGCAAATTCGCTCGGCCGATTTGGCTGCTCTTGCACTCATAGAAAGCTCGACCATGTTTCTGAGTTGGATAGGATTCCTAGAGAGGCAGTCGGCGTCCCTGTGTTTTCGTCCTTGTTTGAACACGACCGTCACCTCATACTCCTGTAGCTCCATAGCTCATCTCGCTAGACGTCCCGTCAGATGTTCCGGCGTCATCAGCCAACACAAGGCATGGTGGTCAGCCACGACCGTGACTGGGCGACCGTACGCATACGGTCGGAACTTCTTCATAGCCCATACTACGGATAAATGCGCGGATCGCTTCGGTTTTTGCCGGATCTGGCCGACTCCGTCACCTGTAATCTCGTGTCCGAGCAGAACGAGTTTCGAAGCTCCCAAAGAGCATTTTTTTAAGTTTAGCGATAGATTCGCCTTGTCCAGACACCCTAGGATGTCTTCCAGCCTTGTGTTGTGCTCCTCCAAGGTTTTCCTGATTACGCACAGATCGTCTAGGTATACAAGACATTCCTTCCACTTTTTCCCTCGGAAACTGTGTCCATGAGTCTCTCGAACGTTGCTGGACCGTTAGACAAGCCAAAGGGAAGACCGCGAAACTCGTAGAGACCGTCGGGCGTCACGAAAGCCGTCTTCTTCCTGTCTCGTTCTTCGACCGGACATTGGAAGTTTCCCGATTTCAGATCTAACGAGGAGAAGAACTTCGAGCCGCCGAGACAGTCGAGAGCGTCATCAATGCGTGGTAAAGGATAAGCGTCTCTTTTCGTAACTTTGTTCAATTCACGATAATCCACGCAGAATCTGATCTCGCCGTTCTTCTTTCAAACCAACACGACCGGGCTGTTCCAAGAACTTGCCGATGGTTGGATTATGCCTTGGGTTTGCATTTTCTTTACTTCTGTAGCGATGTATTCTCGTTCTATCTCTCCTGTTGTAACGACTCCTCACCGATGGATGGTCTCCCGTATTTATCGTATGAGCGATCAGATGCGTCTAACGCGGTGCCTCGTCTTTCTCCAATATGAGTCGGGGAAATCTCATGATGATATTCCTCACTGCCTTGGAGTCACCTGGTGCGGTATCGCGACTGATCGCATTTTCCACCTTGCGGAGAAAGAGTCCGGTATCCTCAAGCTGAGGTTCCCTAGCGGCGATTTTCCCGATGCAGTCGTGTCCAAGTCCCTGACCGGACGCTACTTTCATTCCCTGTGACAGAGGTGACTCTTTCAGCGGTATGGTTTTCTACTACTATTTTAGTTCTATTATGATCTACCATTACGATTGAGTTTGGACCGATCAGATGTTTCGTTTCGAGTGAGGCCGCGATCGTTTTAATGACGAAGGGAACGCTCCCTTTGTCGACGATGGTCCCCGTAAATTCGACCGCGACAGTGTTTGCCTGTCCCGCTGCTACAACCACCGTGTGGCGTACTTTGAGCTCTATCTCTTGCGGGAAATCGCGTTTTTGGTTCGAACGTTCGAGCAACTCGCTTTACACTTCTCCCTGCGTCTCGTCAGAGAGCTCCTCGGAATTCGCCTTGAGGTGATTTATCTGTGCCGCCGAGGTTTGCGGTGGTACTTCATGACAAAACTCGATTCTCTGTTTGAGTCGGATACTACAGCTTTGGAGATCAATGATTGCCTGGTGTGATTTCCAGAAATTTAAACCCACGGCGACATCCCCTCGAATCGCTGAGATGTCAGATCCTAAATCGACGAGCGCTGGTATGGGTTTACTATCATTCAAATACAAATTTACCAAATTCCCGTGGATGATTGGTACGACGTCGCTTACCTCACGAGATGGATTCAGAGACGTCGAGGTCCGTTTCCCGCGCTGGAAATCCCTGGATCTCCTTGCTCTCGGTGTCGACAGAAACGCACCGTGTGGCCTATGTGGTTGCAGAAATTACATGCTGGTCTTCCGTCATCGGTTCTCCTGTTGCCTTGCAGATAGCCGTATAGGTCGGTGAATCCTCCGCTCACGATCAATCCCTCCTGTGTTTGGTCTGGTCTTCCGCGTTGTGGTGAGATCTTGTCCCAATTATTGTCTCTTCGAACCGTAGCTGAGTTGTATCCAGATTCGTCCCCGGAAGTGACGCGTGGTCGCTCACGGGATTCAGAGCGCGATCTGGACTGAGTGGAACGACCTGCAGTGTATTCCTTTCGGCGAGTTGGAGTGGGAGAGCGGGACTGGCGTTCCTTAAGGCTCGACAGCTGATTAACATTCATTCCCGAAAAGGGTCACTCTGGGGCCTTATTGCAGAATGGTATGGTTGAGTCCAGCAATTCGAAATGCTCCCTCAATTCCTGAATTGATCGTGGTTTGATCGAAGCGAGAACTCTCACGTCTTCCGGTGCAAGAATCTTCAAGCATTTCTCTATAATGCGCTCGGCGGTCATGCGTGGATTAGCGTCGAAGCAATATTCCAGAACGGCGTTCAAATGATGAACGTACTTCATCTCGGGGTCCTTGGTCATCGTTTGAAGTTCCTTCAGGGCTCGGCTTCGAGTGGCTCTCTCGTGGACGAATTACCGTCTGAATTCTTCCACGAATTCGGTGCACGAGGATGGCTTCCAGCCAGTTCTACGGAGGCACGATTCAGCGGCGCCTTGCAGCGACGCGGCTACGCGCTCCAGGCGTCCATGCTCCGAATCTTTGTTGAAGCTAGCGGCTTTATTATAACTACGAAGCCAGGCGAGCGCGTCGGTGGTGCCAGCAAATGTTGGATACGGCATGGGGTTAGAAGCCAGCCCCTGCAGTCTACTTTGCGTCAGGAGTTTACCTGCGGCTAGCTGTTGCATGGATAAGTTCCCGATACCAGCAGCTACGGATCCCAAGGCCGGTTCTTTCGGAAGGCCCAGATCGGGCGATTCGTTTGAAATATGAAGATCATCATTCGGAGGATCGTTGCCTCTTTCGTTCCCCGTTGACTCCGAGCTCTCATTTCCGGCAGTCAAGCTCGGTTGTGATGTCGATGGATCAGGGCCGAGGTGAGTCGCAGGACCCGATTGTGCTAAGTTTGGACCCGAGCTTGCTTGGGGAAAAACTGACCGTTGGCTGGTTTGTGGTCTCGGATTCGCCCGGTTTCTCGGGTGGGGTCGCACTGTCGTGTTTAACATTTGAAATTTAGCGCGCTTCCCAGAAGCAGCGTCAACGAGCTGTTACTAAATAAATGATCGACTCATTCCCGTCCGGACGGTCTCGGAAAGGACATCGTGTCCTCACTTAAACTAAGCGTGAACCGTAATAACTGGCGACGAGGGTGAAACTCAAGAAGAACTCACATCTCCAAGTGTGTTAGCTGCCTGACACCGAAATTTTTTCGATCTCGAACATCGAAAAAGGTTCGCTTGGATGAATCCAATCGATACGATGAACTCACAGCGTGCGACCGGAACAGAAGATCGAAGTAGGGTTTTTCAAGTGTTCCCTGCATTCAAACCGGACGAGGAATCATGGCCTACATGGACATCAAGATTAGAAAGTCATTTGATACTTCAGAAATGCAACGAACCATCCGACAAGGTGTGTGCCATAATTGCTTACATGGGGCACATCGCGTACAAGAAACTTCATGAGAAGCTCCAACCGGACAGAAAACCAAAAGATCTCACCTACGAAGAGATCGTGAGTACTTTGACGCAAATCTTCGAACCTCAGAAGAATGTTGTCGCGTCGAGAACGACGTTCCGAAGAATCGTTCAGAACGCCGGCGAGCCAATGTTGGATTTCGAAGCCCGCCTTCGGAAGGGTTGTACAGATTGTTCATGGGGAGATAGTGAATTGCAGCTTAATCTCATCGAGCAATTTATCGTCGGATTGGAGGACAAGGGCGCAAAGCCAACCGTTCTCATCAAGACTGCAAGATTCACGAAATTAGATGAAGCGGTGCTCTTTGCAAATGACATCATGATGGCGCGAAAAACACTCGCTGCAAATTCGAGTACGGGATTAACTGAAAACATTAACTTCGTGAAGAACAGATCATCGAAATTCCGAAAGAAGCCGAAATGGAAGCATACCGAGGGCGCATCGACAAAAAGTCCAGCGTGTTACCGATGTGGCGATAAATCGCACATGGCTCCGAACTGTTGATTCAAATCTGTCGTCTGTGGCGGATTTGGAAAAACGGGTCATCTTCAGAAGGTATGCACCAAGCCTAAACAACAGAATTTTCTGACCGAGATTCCCTTCCATTTTGTTCATGGCGGCGATCCCGTGCGAATCGCCGTGGGAATCGAAGGAAAACCGGTGCATATGGAAATCGATTCGGGAAGCGGCATATCTACCTTGCCACTGTCGGAGTTCCAAATGATCCTGCCAAACCATCCACTCAACGAAACGGACCTCACTCTACGAACAGCAACGAACGAAGCTTTCAGCCCACATTCCTTCGCTGAGGTAACCGTTTCGCATGACAACTCTTCAGAGAAACTTCGCCTTTATCTCATCGACGATCCGAATTTCCCTAAATTATTTGGGCGTCAGTGGCTAAGGCAGATGAAGATAAATCTGAATGAGTTGATCGGCAACGGCGTGCATCGAGTGGAAGTGTCTTCGAAAGAATTCAAGCGCCGAGCTGAAACGCTCTTGAGGAAATACAAGAACTTGAGCAAAGAGGGAATCGGCTGCATTCCGAACATGGAGGCAAAGCTCGAAT